GTCCCCGCCCCCCCCGGGGGGGGGGGTGTGATTTCTCACTTTCTGTCTTTGTCTTTCTGGCAAGCGCATGTGCCCTATAGCAAAAGCCTCTCTCTCAAAATAAAATAAAATAAAATAAAATAAATAAAAACAACAAAAACAAACTGTCCCCCTGTAATCAGGCTATGATTAGAGAGCAGGCGTCCCCTCGTCTCCTTGGCCCAAAGTGAGGGAAGGGCAGGGGCAAGGAGGGCCTCCACAGAAGCTCTATGGGCTCTTCCGGGTGCCCACCCTGTTAGTGCACCACGGCCCTGGAAAGTGACAAGAGGGGGACAGCCCAGGAGGGCCTGGTCCGCACTCTAGGCTGAGTGAAGAAGCGGGAGATCTGAGGTCAGGGCCGAGTGCCTGCGTGGCGTTCCCTGCGCAGCCCAGCCCGTGGGCCACACTGAGGGTTAAAGGACTCAGAATGGAGAAGGGACTGCGGCGCGGCCAGCCTTCCAGGGGGTGATTTCTCACTTGCTGTCTCTCTGTCTCTCCCGCTATAGCTAAAAGCTCTCTCTCTTAAAGAAAGAAAGAAAGAAGAAAGAAAGAAAGCAAGAAAGAAAGCAAGAAAGAAAGAAAGAAAGAAAAGAACTTATCTGAAGTACTCTTGGGAGAGGAGGAGGCCTGCTTTATATTATTTATTTATTTATTTATTTAAATCTGCCAGAGGGCACATGCGCTTGCCGGAGAGACAGAGCGAGAGAAAGTAATAAAGCAAGACCCTCCACGACCCCTTCTCCCGTTTCTCTGCTCAGGACTGTGGGCGCACGAGCACACACACGCAGGGACGTCGTCTCTGATGTGTTTTTTAAGCCACTGGATCTAGGACTCAAACCACACAGTCAGCCAAGTGGGACCCAGCTGCCTTACCCACCAGGCTACGGCTGGCCTGGGAGAAGCCGTCTCCTAGGGCTTTAAGGTCACAGGCCATCGTGAACCCCAGGATGGGCTCTTCAGATAGTGCAGGGGCCTCCTAGGGAAAATAGAATGCCAGGTCTCGTGAACAAAGCGGCAATCACCCAAGGACATCCCTGCGAGAGGTGGAGTGACGACTAGTGAAAGCTCCCGCACACACGCTGTCACTCTGATACAGGCATTTTCTGCCACAGATGTGGTCAAGAGGACAGCCGCCAGCCGGGGCCAAGCCCTGACCCTGGGTCTGTTTCCCCGGCCTCTACGCCTGCGAGGGGCTGTCGGCACAGGGTCCCTCTAGGGGCCTGAGTGGCCAGATGAACTGTGTGAAGGCAGCTATAGGCCCTCACACACTCCAGTTGGTGGGCCTGTAACAGCACAGCGCTTCAGGACCCCAGCTGGGCAGTACACCTCAACATTACAGGTCCCTGTCAAAGGCACAAGTGGGAAGGTGGCCCTGCGCACTGGCTGGTGCCACAGGGAAGCCCAGGTTTGGCTCCCAGTCCAGCCTAGATGGGCCTGGGACAGCGGTACGGGCCTGTGGGCCTGGCTAGCTGGGGACGGGAAGGATCGGAACGTGGCAAGACCTGGCCAAAAATACCTGTCTCTGTCTCCTTCCTGCACATGTGCATGCTCTCTCATTAAAAAAAAAGAAAAGAAGAAATCCCACTTCTAGGCACTTATCCTATAGAAGTAAAACTGTCACAAATGCAGAAAGACACAAAAGCAAGGGGCTGGTCACAAGGTTCTCTTTAACAGCCATGGGCCAGACACCGCCTAAATCACTGGCAGAGGGCGCGGGGGCGAGGGCCACAGCTGCTCCAGGGAGGAGGTGGAGCTAGTTCAAGGACAGGGAGTGAAAGCCCAGATTTACTCCTAAGAGTCAGTTGGGGCCAGCAGATGGCATCATCGCTACGTCCCTGGACTCCTGTGTCGTCAACTGCGGTTGAGTCCTGGACCCGGCGACTTCAAATTCACGCCAGGCACACATGTGTGCATGCCCAAGATCCCGAGAGGAGAATGGAGGAGAAGTTATTGCAGCGTGGCCATCCCCCCTGGGGGTGATTTCTCACTTTCTGTCTCTCCGTCTTTGTCTGTCCAGTGAGTGCATGCGCCCTATAGCAAAAATCTCTGTTTGAAAAAAAAAAAAAGATCCAGCCAGTCGGGACCAGCAGATGGCGTAATGGTTACATCACTGGACTCCCACATGGCTGACCATGGTTTGAGTCCCAAACCCAGAGGCTTGAATGTGCGTGAGTGCCCAAAACGCAAAGAGGAGAAGGGAGGAGAAGAGATTGCGGTGTGGCCATCTGGTCTCGCCTTCTGTCTCTCTGTCTCTTGGGAGAGAGCACACACTCTGTAGAAAAATCTCTCAGAAAAGAAAAGCCAGTCATGGGACAGGGACGCGGTGCCATCTACCTGCACAGCCGCACAGGGAGGGGCTGTGGCAGGAACGCCCAGAAAACATCTGGACACGGGACAGTGGCCAGTGTGGGAGGGTATCTGAAGGGCCCCATCATCCTTTTCTCTGCACCTTCCACCCAGCTGATGGGCTGGTTTCACTTTCATAATTAAAAAAATAACAAACGGTGAGGGGGAAAAACAAAATTACACGAGATGAAGGGACAAAGGGACACTGGCAAGTCTCTGGGCGCAAAGATTCTCTGTCACAGGAAGAGCCTCAGGGAATGGGGTGTCTTTGGCAGGGCTCAGAGGGCAGGACCTTGCTTATACCCCGAAACGTCTGAGGCCGTCGTCCCTTCACTGAAACCCCTAATTGACCCATAGGCCCAGCCAAGCCTCACGAGTGGCACTGGGCCTCAAGGGAAGGGTGGCGGCTTCTCGGAAGGGCACAGACACTCCTCCTGTGGATGAAATGAGCTGACTCCATGAGCTGAAGTCTGGGTCACTCCACCCCCGCTTTCATAGGATCCGCTGCTGAGTGTGGGCGCCCTCTGGTGGCAGCCACCTGCACGACAGGCACCTTGCCGCCCTCGCGCACCACAAACGCCTCACATCACAGCTGCTCTGAGAGCTTCAGGCTCCAGAGCTGCTGATGGCTGGCCCTACACAAAGGCCCCTCTTCAGCAGCCAGTCAGTCACCCTCTGCTGGGCCAGCCATGCGCCCCTGGGCTATGTTTACCTTTTTCCAGCCCTGAGGGACGTGTTTTTGAGCTGGAGGAAGCCTCTCCTCTCCTGGCCAGAGAACCTCTGTCAAGCTCACCACTGACCTCCAGGGGATGGGGCCTCCTCCCCATGCCCTGCTGACCAGGAGTCATACCCTCGCCTCCTGGAAACACTCCTGCTTCTGCTGTTCCTATTTAATGCTGGACGGTCCCAGCGCCCAGTTCTTCCACCTTGGCCTGGTGACTTGAAATCTATTGAGACGTCCCAAATAAGCATTTGTAGCCACGCCCCTCCTGTGTCCTCCAGACTCCACTGCCCAACTGCTGACGGCTCTTAACACCTCGAACTTAACAGTCAAAACCAAGTTCACACCCATCCCCTGGCCTAATCCTGGTCCACGCAGCTGTGTCCTTCCAATCAGGTCATGGGAGAGTGGACCTGAAGCTGCCTCTTCTCTTTTAGGGCAAAGGAATGCAGACTAGAGAAGGGATCACCCCAGATTTTAGAAACTCACAAGTTTCCATACTTCGGAGATCACTGCTGATCACCACTTACAAGAAGCCCAACTTGGAACTCACAGCATGGAGCCTACTTCTAATGTACATTTTCTTAAAGAATGATCTTTTATTTAACTTTATTTATTTACTTATTTTAAAATTTGACCAGAGAGGGACAGAGCGAGCGAGAGAGAGAGGGATAATGAGAAAGCGAGCAGGCCCAGGACTCGAACCGCAGTCGGCCATGTGGGAGTCCAGCCCCCTTAACCACCATGCCAACTGCCGGCCCCGAACATTTTTATCTTAATGACATCGGTGTCCATTTAACTGGAAAATTAGAGTTAGAGTAGCTGGGGTTGAGAAATGAAGCACGAAATTTTAAATAATACATCTGGAGCTGGAAAGTCCACATCCCTCAAAGTAGTCCCTACATGAAGAAAGACGGAGGAAACAGCAAAATGTTAATATTGGTTGAGCCACGTGAAGCTGCCGATGTTTGACTACTTTCGACCCCAAGTAACAACTTCATACGGTTTAACCTCATAGTACAGAAGATCCGGGATGGTTTCTGTTTTCTTTTTTACAATACTCTGTGTAGAAATTTCAAATTTTTCCTAACTGATGGTATTCATTTTATAATCAGGGAGAACAAACTAACTTTTAAAAACCTTCTAATACCATGCCTCTGGGACTTTGGGGTTCCCCAGCCTCCCGCAATTCGAGTATGGCTAGAAATGGATAATCTGGCTGAGAAGAGCCTCGGAAAGGAGGTGCCTGGATC